CCGTCGTAAACGTTCGGGGTTATGCATGATGATATTTAGGTTTGGAGACTGAATTGGTTAAAATTTTATCTTTGCAAGACGAGGTCTCGAGACATTGGATGTAAGTTCGTTCAAGTCTGGTCACCTACTCTATTTCAATCTCAAGCTTTTTATTTAACCCTTAGATAGGGGCACGGCAGATTGTGGTTCAAACTGATGAATCGGAGTGCCGAGTTCAAATTCCAATCGAGTTCATTACATTCACTTACGTGGGAAAGGCATGAATCCATCTCTTCTCTTCATCCAGCAGCTATGGATAAATAGCGGGACTGACTGGATTCAGAACAGGCTACCTTGGGTGGCAACCGGTCTAGAAAGAAAAACTCTGAATTCAAAACCTCCCACTATGGATAAAATAGTAGGGCAGTCTGTAACCATGGTTGGCAACTAGATTGGGAGAAGGACAACTCTGAATTCAAATCTGGGGCCGGAGTCCCTAAGACAACCCAATGTCATATTTAGTTTTGTTCTGTTAACTCCTGCGACGACGCCGGTGCCAAGCTGAATTGGCCTCTGTCTTTCCCTTGGACAACATCGGTGGCGTGGAGAGGGGAGATGGGCTGCATAGGCAACTGCTGATTTCTCATAAAAGAAACATGCTCAGGCCTGCGCCCCGGAAAGGGAATAAATCTTCGACCACAGATTTAATCACCACAGATAACCATGTCTGCTGATGCATGACTGTTGCTAAACTTGGAATCACCTATTCCTCGACATTAAGTGGAACCATTATATTCAACTAATTGCTACGTCTTCCTTCTTTTTATGTGCCATATCCTTTCAGGGCGTAGACTGTTATGGCTCTCCACCCCCCTCTATCCCTTGCAGCTCTCAACAAGTTCCTTTTCATATGCTTCTTCCGTAATTCTGTTATCTAGCTATGTCACGCGTTGTTCTTCCTTGTCTCTGTTTCTCTCTATTCGACTTTTGAGTATCAGATTCTCCAGGCCCTCCTTCCTTATTATGTGGCCCAGAAACTTCAGCTGCCCTTTCATGATATTAAGTATAAGCTTCCTTCTTGTTTGCAACCTCTCTAAGATCTCATCGTTGCTCACACGCTCGGTTCATAATATCCTTAGCATCCTTCTGTAGAACCAAATCTCTGTCGCCTCGAGTCTCTTCTTCATCTTTGAGGAAATCGTATTTTTTTCGTCAAAATCCGTCTTGCACATTAATAAATCTACCATACGTCTGTGCATTGTATATTGCTGCCATATCTGTAAATTCAAAGCGTCTCTAGTGTAAACGATTAAATATTTTCATGGCAACTGTCCTGATGAGCTTTTCTCCTTGGTCCTCAACGGTATAAATATAAGCGCAGTACTAGATTGGCAACTAGGTCTCATCGTTTTACTGTTGAACTAGCAAAAGATGCAACAGCTTTCTTTAACATTTCTCGATTGCGAATTTCTTTCACACTTCTCGATTGCGAATTTCTTTCACATTTCTCGATTGCGAATTTCTTTCACACTTCTCATTTGCGATTTCTTGTTTTCCTGCCACCTACTATCTTGAAAAATTTAAATGCAACGTCAACATATCCTGTGTTCTTTAATCCTTTTCCTTTATTGTCCTTTCCCCCACTTCTCATTCTCCCAGTCACCCCTTCACTGCATCTTAGTGGTATTACCGCCTTGCTTGGAGTGAAATGATAAAAAAATGCCATTGCGTCTTTTTTGCACTAAGTAGTGCCATTTTTCGCCTTATATTTCTCTCTATGTTTGCATGCAGATATAAACTACCTTTGGTTTGTACTTCTCGATTTAATTGCAAACACATACACCATGGTGCCTCCAATGACCAGGTCATTGAAGGCTAGAACTCTGTGAAAAGCTTGCCACCAACCGATGTCTCAGGAACATCCTCAATATCAGGGGTCCGGAAGTCGTCCCCGACGACCAACTGTGGAACAGGACCAGACAAGCCCCAGGGGAGACTGACATTAAGAAACGGAAATGGGGATGGATCGGCCACATACTCCGCAAGTGTGCTTCTAGTGTCATCAGCAGGCCCTTGACTAGAATCCACAAGGGAAGCGAAAAGTGGATCAACCAAAACAGACTTGGTGCAGAAGTGTTGACGCTGAGGCAAAGGCAGCCGGCACGACATAGGCCGAGCTGAAGAGGATCGCCCGGAACTGCGTCCGTTGGAGAGGTGTTGTTGCGGCCCTATGCTCCCCAAGGAATCATATCCCGAGGCATAATATATATACATACACCATGATACGACGTAACCTCATGAATCCTAGAGTTGCTAGTTATTCATTTAGACACTAATGAAAGAATGCTCGTATAGTTGGAAAAAGTTGAAATAATCAATTTATGATACCCGCTGATTTTCAATTAAACACTAATTTCTGATGCTCACTGTTTAAGTATTAATAGTTAAAGAGGCATTTGACTTAGAACGTTGGGATTTTCAAAAATGAATAATATAAACTAACTTGATCTCAGAATTGAAATAACTTAAGACGAGTGTTCATTTTTTTCATACAGAAGGTTCATCCTCTATACAAATCTCGAGAGCCACATTAGGTAGAGGGTTACGTTAAGGGGCAGCTTATACAGATAGGAAGGGAGGATAACGGTTAATTCTAGACTTGAACAGGTTAAAATTTTAGTGATCGGGGAACCATCCTGTTGGGATTCGGTTCCACAGGGCAGTGGTACGCGGAAAGAAGCTGTTCGAGTGGAACTTCTCACCGATAGAATACGGAGAAAATGTTGGTGGTTTGTTACAATGTAAGTGGCATGGCAGATACTAGCCTTAAAGGTTAGGCCTGGCAGAATCAAGAAATGTAGTTCGTCTGAGCACTTTCCGTGAAAGCAGCGACAGAGTAGTGTGAAGCTCGGCATGTCAGAGAGGTTGCAGGGTGGAAAATAATTCGTCACCCACAAGAACTCTGAGAGACTTTTGAATTCTATCAAGACTAGAAAGTGAGGTATGGACAGCTCCTACCGAAATACTGCTAGTAATAACTAAGTAGGCGTCGCCCGCTCGCTATCTGGTAATTTTTCTAGGAAAAATTAGTTGTTTTTTCTATGGGATCAATGTTCACTGTTTATAAAATTTTGAAGGGGTTGTGGGCGTTCAATATATTTGTTCAAAGAATATGACTGTAAATACAAGAAATTAATTGGTCGGGTGTGGAGGCAGGCTTGTTATAGTTAAGGAAAGGTTTACAAATAGATGCCAACTTGTTGAAGGCCAAGTAAAATGCAAATTCCAAACACTTTACTCCACTATATAAGACAATATTGCTAAACAGAACTATTTTTTATATGAAAATTGGTACACTATCTGCTCAATATCTGACATATATTATCTACTTCTAAGTACTATCACTTTTCAGGTTTAACTAATTTGCATATTGATTTTAAAAAGGTATATTTCATTAATTAACTGTCTTTCATTACTGTTCTTTTATTCGAGGATTGTTTTGATTTTCATAAAGATTAAAAAGAATTCATCAGATGCTATATCTATTAAAACATTTGTTATAAGCTTCTATTGCCCTATTTTCTTTTTTCTTCCTTTCTTTTCCAGAATCAATTTATACTTTTCTAACACTTTCCTCTTCCTTTCTTTTCCAGAATCAATTTTATAACTTTTTCCTCTTTTTCTTTTCCAGAATCAATTTCCTTTTCTAACACTTTCCTCTTCCTTTCTTTTCCAGAATCAATTTATACTTTTCTAACACTTTCCTCTTCCTTTCTTTCCAGAATCAATTTATACTTTTCTAACACTTCCTCTTCCTTTCTTTTTCAATTTATACTTTTCTAACACTTTCCTCTTCCTTTCTTTTCCAGAATCAATTTTATACTTTCCTCTTCCTTTTTTCCAGAATCAATTTATACTTTTCTTCCTTTTCCTTTTTTCCAGAATCAATTTATACTTTTCTAACACTTTCCTCTTCCTTTCTTTTCCAGAATCAATTTATACTTTTCTAACACTTTCCTCTTCCTTTCTTTTCCAGAATCAATTTATACTTTTCTAACACTTTCCTCTTCCTTTCTTTTCCAGAATCAATTTATACTTTTCTAACACTTTCCTCTTCCTTTCTTTTCCAGAATCAATTTATACTTTTCTAACACTTTCCTCTTCCTTTTCTTTTCCAGAATCAATTTATACTTTTCTAACACTTTCCTCTTCCTTTCTTTTCCAGAATCAATTTATACTTTTCTAACACTTTCCTCTTCCTTTCTTTTTCCAGAATCAATTTATACTTTTCTAACACTTTCTTTTCTAACACTTTCCTCTTCCTTTCTTTTCCAGAATCAATTTATACTTTTCTAACACTTTCCTCTTCCTTTCTTTTTCAGAATCAATTTATACTTTTCTAACACTTTCCTCTTCCTTTCTTTTCCAGAATCAATTTATACTTTTCTAACACTTTCCTCTTCCTTTCTTTTCCAGAATCAATTTATACTTTTCTAACACTTTCCTCTTCCTTTCTTTTCCAGAATCAATTTATACTTTTCTAACACTTTCCTCTTCCTTTCTTTTCCAGAATCAATTTATACTTTTCTAACACTTTCCCTCTTCCTTTTTTTTCCAGAATCCTTTTTAACACTTTCCTCTTCCTTTCTTTTCCAGAATCAATTTATACTTTTCTAACACTTTCCTCTTCCTTTTCTTTTCCAGAATCAATTTATACTTTTCTAACACTTTCCTCTTCCTTTCTTTTCCAGAATCAATTTATACTTTTCTAACACTTTCCTCTTCCTTTCTTTTCCAGAATCAATTTATATTTTTCTAACACTTTCCTCTTCCTTTCTTTTTCTCACTTTCTCTCTATATTTTCTCATTTTCTCTCTATTTTTTCTCACTTTCTCTATATTCCTTTTCTCAATTTTTCTTCGCATTGATGTTTTTCTTTTCTTTTTCGCAACTTTCGATTAACCATACTTTTACATACACTTTCCTTTTTCTAGGTGATGATAACTGCCACCAACAGAGGCATGCTGAAAATCAACGCCGAAAATCCAGGCAGCGAACCCAGTTTTGAAGAGTACGTGTCTGTTATGTTGCAGAATGTACTTTTGGAACCGTCTGATGAAGCTTCAGTCTTTAGGAACGAGTACAAGCAGTTCGGAAGCTTTGGTCTGGCCGGAAAAGGCACTGATGAGAAAATTGTAAGTACCAGTTCTTTCAGCCATGTCATTAATTAGGTTCATATGGACGCACAAATATGGAGGAAATTGGTGTAAAGAGATCAAAATTGTTATTATCAAAGAGCAATAGGTTCACGATTACGAACAGTCCATAATGAATTCAATCTATTCAGATCGATCTCATTCCGTCCAGATCGAGCCCAACCTACCCAATTTGATCTCTGTCGGAATTGATTTCAGTCTGTTGAGAGGATCTCTGTTCAGATCGATCTTATTCTGTCCAGATAGTTGTCATTCCAACAAGATCGATCCCAACCCGCCCAAATTTATTTCAGTCTGTTCAAATCTATCTCTGTTCAGATTGATCTCATTCTCCTTAGATCGATCACAGCATGTTCGAATTGATTTTAGTCTGTTGAACTTGATCTCTGTTCAGATAGATCTCAATCCGCCCAGATCGAGCCCAGCCTGTCCAAACAGATGTCAGTGTGTTGAGATTGATCACTGTTCAGATGGATCTCATTCTGCCCAGATCGGTCTAATTCCGCACAGATCAATCCCATCCTGTCCAAATTGATCTCAGACTGTTCAAATTGATTTCAGTATGTTGAGATGATCTCTATTCAGATGGATCTTATTCTGTCCTGATTATTCTCATTCCGCCTAGATCGATCCCAGTCTGTCCAAATTGATCTCAGTCTGTTCAAATTCATTTCTGTTCAGATCTGCCTAGATCGTGCCCAGCCTGCCCAAATTGATCTCAGTCTGTTCAAATTGATTTCAGTATGTTGAGATGATCTCTGTTCAGATGGATCTCAATCTGCCCCGATCGGTCTCATTCTGCCCATATCGATCCCAGCCTGTCCAAATTGATGTCAGTCTGTTGAGATCGATCACTGTTCAGATTTATCTCTTTCTGCCCAGATCCATCTCATTCTGACCAGATCAAACCCAGCCTGTTCAAATTGATCTCAATTATTTTTCAAATCCACCTCTGTTCAGATTGATCTCATTCTGCATAGATCGATCTCAATCTCCAGGTCGATCCCAGCCTGCTCAAATTGATCTTAGTCTGTTCAAATCCATCTCTGTTCAAATTGATCGCATTCTACTCCGTTCTAGCCTGTTCGAATTGATTTCAGTCTGTTGATATCGATCTCTATTCAGATTCTGTCAAAGTTGATCTCTCTGTCCGTGTTTAGTTGATCTCCTACTATCTGGAGTGATCTCTGTCATATAGGAATAAAGTGTCGCTGCCGACACTTGAGTTTGAACATTGATCGTCAGGGTGCAAACACAGGCGATCCCATTATTGAATTAATTAGACCACGTGTTCATAGAGAAAACGCATAAGTAGGAATTAGCTTGGCGTCTAACTGATCGCCATTGTCATTCTATCCTCTGTTACTATACGGATCGCTATTTCTAGTCTATCCTCTATTACTATATGGGTCGCTATTCTCTACTCTACTTACTATATTATTTCTCTATTCAGATCACTATTCGGTGGTTACTTTTCGAGCGAGTATTATCGAGTAAATACTATTAGTGTGAGTATTATTCGAAGACGTCTGACACCAGCATTGTTCAATAGCATTACTATAGTTGTATCTTCGATTACAAAGTCTCTACTGCAACGATCATTACGAGCATTACGAAAGTGACAACGAGTATTCGTTGACATCACAAAAGTGGCAATCTTCAGATCGATTCCAGTCTGTTCAAATTGATTTCAATCTCTTCAGATCGATCTACATGTGTGTCATTCTTAGTCTGTTTAGTTCTATGTCTCAATCTATTTTCTCCTATTGCTATGACCACAGCTGATACCCCTACTACCATTGTTACATAACGTGACGTGTCATTTGTTTCTTTAGTGAACAATTTTTTCATATTCTTTATAGTATCAGAAAAGCTGTCTGGTTATTATTTCGCATTCATTTGTAAATGCTTGCATAATGTTCAAATAACAAATTTATTTTTTAAAATGCCCTCTTTTATTTTTTAATTTTAGTTCAACAGAAAGACACGCAGAAAAAAAGAGATAATCTTACATAAAACAGGTCAAAGTTTAAATGGTGTTTTACAGTTGTACGTCGTGTTTCTTTCAGATAAAAGCTGTTGAAGAATGGTTTGAAAATTTGGTACAGGATACCGATGTTCTGGCTGCCACTAAAATCAACATTGAAGATTACGGAAACATTGTCGCTGCTACAGACGCTGCCATTGAGAACTTTGAAACCATTTTCTTGAAGCAAGAGGAAGTCCAACGCGGAATCGTTGATGTTGGTGTGCTTCGTTACCCAGACTTGGATAACCCATTTTTCAAGGTTTGTATTTAAAATAAACGACAATACGATTTATAGACTGACTGCATTGAAATTGGGGCAGGAATCACTGGCTCTCTTTTATCGACGCATAAATCAAACGTGAGCCATGAGAATAAAAATGGCCTGCTCGTATTTATTTCTTCGCTGGTTCTGAAGCCCACCGCTAATGGAATATCTTGTAAAGGTACTGAAAGTCATTTTGTATCTGTCTTTATCTCTGAGATTAGGTATTATGATTATTTGCATTGTTTACATTATTCGGACTGTTATCCTCATCTTCATTGCCATATTCACAACGTTGTGAATATGACCATGAAGATGAGGATAACAGTCTGAATAATGCAAGTAATGCAAGTGAGCCTTTTTGTGTTCTGGATTATTGAATATTTTACTAATAACCCAACATGGTTCGAGTCGGAGTCGAAAGATAAAGAATCTACCTGCCAGACTTAATCTAATCTTAAAGTTTTTTTGTTTTTTTTTACGGCCAGGAATAGGAATGCACATTGCAAAGGGTAAGAAAAGCGTCACGTGACAGTCTATTTAGAGGTGCAAAATGCAAGCCACCTCGACGGTGCCAATCTCTCGAAACGACTGCACGTCAATTCTAGACCTTAACTTTTTTCGCCGTTCATAGCCACGTCACTGACTCAATATACGTCCAAGTCAGCTCTCAAGTAATACATTAATTCACTTTCCTTTTTTGCTAATACATATTCGGTTTGCAGCATGAACAAATTATTGTTGATTTCAAGTTTTAGAAATATTTGAATCAAATGTTTTTCTCTAAAACATACATACCTGTTGTAGTCTGTATTTATCCAGGTTGCAATATCGCGTATTAAGATTAGGTTTATGTTAGGAGGATAAGCTAAATTTATCTCCACCAGCCATTTCATTTTACTTATCTTATTTTTATGTCTGTTATTTCCACAAGGATTCCTGAAAATATTCTGATTTTGTATATATATATATACTAGCAGTAGAGCCCGGCGTTGCCCGGGGATGTAATAGTAAGAGATAGATCAAGTATCGACCATCATAAAGACTGAAAAATAAAATTGACAAAGATTATTGTTTAAGGTTGACGGACACGCATGTCTTAATTAGTTTTTTTTTTGTTTTTTTTTTTACGAATAGGTCAAACCCAAACTCAAACAAAAACATTTTATGAGTTATGAGTCTCCTGATTGAATAGAATTTTATTATAAACAATTGTCTAAAAATTTTTTTAAAGCATTCTGAATGTAAAAATAAAGAAAAAACAGTGTGCAAGACAATAAGAAACACTACCTGCCAAAAAAAAGTGAAGTTTGTTGAAATCGGTTGAAAAATGTAGGAAATCCGATACCATATAAACAAGATACACACACACAAACACAAACAATCTGGGTTTTATAATAAGTATAACTCGATATGAGTTGTTCCCCTTTCATTCTCGCGATGCCTCTTAATCGTGTTTTCAAATTGATTTCGTGCAAAAACAATCGTGTTTTCCTATTTTTGGCGCCGTCAGAACCACCGCAAGGTAATTTTACGTAGTCCTGTGAAGTTTTATTTGAAATCGGTTGAAAATGTAGGAAATCCGATCAATATATAAACGAACAGACACACACACACAAACAAACACACACACACACACACAACCTGGGTTTTATAATAAGTATGATATATATATATATATATATATATATATATATATATTAAAGTTCAAATTTTTGAAGCCACCCCAGAATTAACTTGGGATGAAATTGACAAAAAGTATAACTTTTCCATCCCCTAAATTAAATAGAGCTTTTAGAGTCATTGAAAAAAGAATGGAATCAATTATCAAAATTTATACTTTGAGAAAATTTTGCAACGAATGCCAAAAACGTGTGCTGCAGTAAGGAGGATATTTTGACGAGAGCAAGATTTAAACATAAAATGCTCTTTTCTTTTTGTTATAATAAAATTTCTAATAAAAGATCATGTTTAACATTTTTTAATCATGTATAATAACTTTCTCTTATTTAATGTACAAAACGATTACTTTTTGGACCAATTTAAAAATGAACTGTAGTGTATATATCTATCTATCTATCTAACATATATATATATATATATATATATATATATATATATATATATATATATATATATATATGATAAATTAACTGATTTAACATATGGTTTTCCGCTACACAGTTCTAACCATGTTTCAAATGTGGAAGCTAAGAGCTTTGAATTAAATTTAATTTTGTAATTAAATTGACTACAAAATTCGCTTCAGGATAAAATGGAACTAATGTCTTTAATTTAATTACAAAATTAAATTCGAAGCTTTTAGCTTCCATTTTTGAAACATGGTTAGAACTGTGTAGCGAAAAACCATATTTTAAATCAGTTAATTTATAATATTAATGCTCTGTAAATTTACATTGAGCACTATTTTGTAAAAATAAAAATATCTGTAAGAACACCGGATTATATATCTTACTGTACTTTCTTTATATATATATATATATATATATATATGTGTGTGTGTGTGTGTGTGTGTGTGTGTGTGTGTGTGTGTATAAATATATATATATATACTCGCGTTGTTATTATAATTAATAATGTGACCCCTAAAATTGGTAACAAATTTGTTGGTTCAACAGAGTGCCCTTAAAAATATGTTTGTCTCGATTTTGTGAAATGGTTCCAGCAAGATACTTTTCAGCAGCTCCTCGTAATTTTTCTTAATAATGAACAGCAAATCATCTCGACGTATTAAATGCTTGTTTACTTTTTTTTAAGAGGGAGTTGTTCAGAGAACATTACTTTTATTGAAAGTTAAGTGATTACTGTGGTTTAATTATTTAAGAGACTCGTATTTTCGATTCTGTACGGTAGAGTAATGGATAGCAGCTCAGATTCAGGAATCGGCGAGCCCAGTTCGAATTCCAGTCGAATCTATTACATTCACTTACGTACTAAAGATTTGAACCCTCTTCTCTCCCGCGACCCCAGCTATGGGGAAATAGCAGAACAGACCGGGTTCTTTAGCCTTAGATGGCAACTGGTCTATCGCAGAGAGAAATAGCAACCTACTGCGCGAATAAATCTGCCTCGTCAGTCATATATCGAAAGATACATGATCGCCTAAGTGTGTGTCACGCATGGCACATAAATGACTGAGGCAAACTTTAGTTCGGTCAACTGTACATTTCCATATTTTGCTCGTAAACCAAAAAGTAGGGACTCGCGTAACTTTTATTGATAAGACTCTGATGTCGAATTTATTTTACAATTTGCTACCATATTGGTCAGTCCATGCTTTCGTTAGCTTGCTTTGATTTCTTACATGTCTTGCTAAATTCGTTTCCTTGCGTTTGAAAATTAAGACAATTATGGGTTTCCAAGATTTTACAAGTAATTAATTCAACATTCGACCGACTGACGCCGGAATAACTGTAGGATAAATTCGATTCAAACAAAAACGAAAATAGTGTTCCGATTGGTAATTCAATTTCGACCCACCCACCAAAATTATTAGTTTTAATCACTTCTCATATCTGAAATGTTAATTTCCGTTGCATTTTTTCAGCTTTTCCGTATCAAGTTGGCCGCCTACAGGAGAAGTTTCCGTGTGCTAATGGTCCAGAAAGACGAGAGTGGAATCAAGGGAAGCTATGAAGCGATGAAATTTGTACCTAGAAAATCAATTATGGACGAACTTAGGTCTGAGATTATCGAGAAAGCAGCCAGAGAAGCAGAAAAAATGTTTGACTAAGAGAAAAGTCAGAAAGTTCAGTATTTTCGAAATAAAATTTATTCCGTTGGAATGGTGTCATCGTAAATCGTATTTCATGTTTAATTCTGATTTTAGCACTTTCATGTTTATATATATATATATATATATATATATATATATATATATATATATATATATATATATATATATATATATATTTAAATAAAAGACAGACCACGTTAAGATTCCATGTAATAAGCTATTTCACCATAACCCCTTTAACAGGGTTCTGGATCATCAGACTTTACTTCCAAAAGCTGAAATGAAAAATGAAAGGAAATTGCACATTTGGGAGGTTAAGGTTTGATAAATATCTAAACAATCTACGAAGAAATTAATTTGAAATAATCCAGAACCCTGTTAAAGGGGTTATGGTGAAATAACAATACATGGAATCTTAACGTATATATATATATATATATATATATATATATATATATATATATATATATAATTATTTATTTAAAAAATGATTCCAAATCGCTACATAAGATTTGGAATCATATTTTCAAATAAATAATTATATTTATGCTCTACTTTTGTATCGAGCACTATTATTTTTAAAAATAATAACTAAAATACTAAGGGACTTTGGATTATTTATCTAACCAGTTCCTTCCTATTTTCTATATATTTTCACATATATATATATATATATATATATATATATATATATATATATAGTAATTCATCGAGTCTAGAAGAATCCTTAACAGAATGCAGAAAGCACTGTACGTCAGCTTCGTGCTATTTGGAACTCATCAAGTACGCATCCACCGGGACCGTTACGATACAACGTACCAGGTTCGAATCTCGGTAGTGGATTCGCATTGCTGATGAGTCCCAAATAGGACGAAGCGGCTGTCCATCAATTCCTGCATTCTATTGAAGATTATTCTAGACACGATGAATTACTATAAATGATTATTCAAATACACCACCCCAAATTACTATCACACACACACACGCATATATATATATATATTCGTTCGTATCTCTCTCTGTTTGCATCAATCTGTGTTGCTCTCTTCTGGCCATAACTTAGTGGATGAAACAGTTTGTGTTTGGATCGATCGACATTTTTTTTTCAATCAAAGTTTAAACTTGTTACATTGGAACAAGAGACTTTATCTGCCGAAACAATAACTGTTGATTGTTCGAGTCCTGCTCGGAATAATGTTTTCGACTACTGATTGTCAAATTCACAAATCCATATATTATATATAATATCATTTACTTCATATGTGTTATATATATATATATATATATATATATATATATATATATATGTATGTATGAAGAAATATACTCTTAAGGTGTGCTATATTTATGGGATAAAGTGCTCAATATCAGAGAGAGCGTGTGTAAATATAAATATATGAGTGAACATTGAAGTCAACACTCAGAGGCGACAGGCTGTTTCATGCTAGACACAATCGTCTGATCACTACTATATTTACACGCTCTATCTCTGATATTGAGCACTTTATCCCATAAATATAGCACACCTTAATATTTTTTCATACATACATACATACATATATATATATATATATATATATATATATATATATATATATATATATATATATATATATATACGTAAGTTATTCTTAGCATCGCTTGAGAATGAAACCGAGCTCCAAATTTTAAGTTTAAACTTTAAAATTAAATTTTAATATTTAAGCTTCAGTTTCGAAACATAATAATTTCTGTGTCGTGACGGAGACATTTAAAAAAAAAAAAATAATATATATATATATATATATATATATATATATATATATATATATATATGGTGAAATAGAACTTTGCTTTGTGTGACGTGTTTCATGGCCGAACATATAGGGAACATGGTTTAAAATTGAAAGTAGAGAAATGTCAATTTTTGAAAAATGAAACAAAATATCTTGGTTTTTATCATTAATAAAAATGGAGTAAAACTGAATATCTGTAAGCTTGAGATGATAATATCAATACCATAGCCACGAAAGTTTTGCTAAGTTCAACGATTTTTTGGGTACTTTAGTCTACCATAAAAGATTTTTATCCCTGTATTTTCCAGAATCGCGTTCCCGATTATAAATCTAAACAAGAAATATGCTAGATTTAAGTCGAACCAGTGGCTATTTCATGCGGTAAAGTAGCAATTAACATGTGCCCCAACTGGAATATCCAGACTTGAGCGAACAAAGCAATGATGCGTTATATTTATGCAAATGACACGTGCATTGAAGCGTGGCTGACGCAGTCCTGTCCAGAACAGGGAAATTCTGTAGAAGGTATGAAGGAAGAAATTCTACAAAAAACTCTCCCCGGCTCAGCAGAAATGACTCATGATTGAGAAAGAAGCATACCCAATCCTATATGCACTCTAGAAATTGTATTGTTATCTGGACGGAGCAGACGGATCACAAACCTCTACAGTATCTGTTCAGACCTGAATACTCGAATACGAATATTCAACAATGAGACTAAGCGATTATAAGTTTCGTTTGGAATATCTGTCATGTAAGGAAAACACTTATGCAGGCTTATTGTCACGAAGTCCGAGCAAACTAGAATCGTTGATAGTGGAGTCTGAAGTGGATGATAAAGAAAGCTTATCAAATTAATGTCATAAATTCATATAAGTTGGAGTATAGACCAGTCAAGAGTGACACAGACGAGGAGAAGAAGAATTAAAGGAAAGCGTGATGAAAGAATACCAAACGGTAAATGTCTATAAGAGCCTTAAAGTAATCGATAGAAGCAGGAGGGTGGTAAGAAGGGTGGCGGAAAAGTTGGACGACCTAATATATTATGTGTCCCGCAAAAAGGATGATCTCAGGTTAAGATTATATGTGCTTAAAAGATTGCAGACTTTAGTGTTGGAACAGTGTTACGAAAAGACGGGATATGTGGGAACTAGCAAAACGTTCGACCTGCTCAATAGAAAGTATTATTGACCCGGTTTATATAGAAACGTAACAGCTTATGTCAGCAGCTGTTTCACTTGTTAGACGAAAAGTGGAAAGAATGATACTGCTCCATTGGTGAAACCCATAATTCTTTTCTATTCCTTTTAAGAAGTATGAATGTGTCCTGACCTTATATGTGTTATATTAAGCGTATGGTGGCATAACAATGATGAAACAACGTATTAACGTAAAATGCAAAAAAAAAAAAAAAAATGATAAATAGGTGTAAATGTCTCTCTTCGAAAGAAGGAGATAAGTTGAGTTGTAAAAAGCGACCGCAGAGGTGTACGGTAGAAAAAGGAGGGTGATTTGTGATTACTGCGACGACGACCTTTGATGAGTTGTCTTTTGGAGATGGGATGTCACTTTCCGACGAATGTTGTGAATCCGACACAAGATGCCGTCCGATTGCCAAAAATGTCCCTTTGATGGGCTTTTATGTCTTCCAGTTTTTATTTTGTTTCTTTCAGCAATAACCGTAAACACATCATCGGTTGACCTAGAGAAACGAAAGCAATATTGATTATCTGAAAAAAAACCCCCAAAAAACCTGTGATACGAGATGCTTAACCAATTCAGAGCTGATTATAACCTCAAGTACTTTACAAAAATAAGTAGAAGGCTAGTAGGCCGATAGTTAGAAGGATCAGATGGTTCACCTAAGTTCTTAGACAGGAACAACAGAAGAGTATTGAGAAGTAGATTGGGAAAGGAAACAGCAAGCATCGCAATTGAGAATGCGATTACGGATAAGGAGAGGAGGAATATTTAAGTTTGATGTTTGCTCTCTAGCAGGAGAATATAATGATGATTAAGCGGTGGTATGTGTAGCTAGGAGATCTATGTCTGTTAGGAAAGAAAAGCGAGAAGTGATCTATGTCTGTTAGAGAAAGAAAAGCGAGAAGTGATACCCACAAGCCCTGAGTGTACACTTGGATACCGTGTTGGGAGAACATTTTAAAATGATTAGCAGGAAATTAAACAGACTGAAAATTAGCGAGAAACAGATGGCCCAGATGGCTTGGGAAAGTGTGTCAATCCTAAATGTGACTAGAATTGATCTAGTTAAGAACAGACAATCACTTGGTTGACCAATGAGGTCCAAGGCATGGGCTAGGAATAAGGGAATGTAACGACAATAACGGGAGTTCAGATTAAGAGATTAGGGAAACTTGTTATACACTATTTCCAGCTGTTGATAGTTAACGATCGACTGAGGTAAGATTTGCAGTCATTATTGTCATCACTGGAACATGTACGTTCCCAGATTGACATGCTGACCTTGGGACATCTATCTCTTAGCATATTGACTCCTGAGCATTAGAAAGAATTGCTGTTTAGGATACAAACAAAATTACCCCACGGCTGGGGCTGCCAATTTACCCTGTGGGTAGATTATGGCTTTATTATAGCTCCCTCGCATGCACTACTTCGATGAATGAGGATAAGCTATTGGTGTTACGTCAGTTATATGCCATGTGCGATACACGCTTAGGCGATCATGTATCTTTCGATACATGACTGATGAGGCAGATTTTTTTCCCGCAGTGGTTTTTTTTTGGGGGGGCGGGGGTAGATCAGTTGCCATCCAAGGTTATAGAACCCCACGGGCTGGGGTTACCAACTTAACTCAGTAGGTAGATTATAGCTGGGGGAGAAGAGGATTCATAATTTTCCCAAAGGTATTAGCACGTAAGTGAATGTAATGGATTCGACTGAAGTTTAAACTCGGAGAGCCGAGTTCGAATTCCAGTCGAGTCCCTAAATTTATTGAATCGAGAAAGCACATGTTATGATAATCAACTTATCATATCCTTATCCTATAACGAATGGAAAGGAGCGTAATTAGAGACGGAAGGCATTGTTTTTACTGTGTGAAGAACTAAATGTATGATGTTAATACCGGAAGCTAGGACTTACAGAATGAATGCGTTCGACGCCTGTTTATCAAAAAATCCAATCTATGTGAGTGGTTGCCATAAGTTGTGTGTGTTAGGACTATTAAAGGGAGATGACGAA